TAGTGTGAACTTTGTCCACATTTAGCTTTAGTCTGGATACGAATATTTCAGATGACTGAACACCAGTTGAGATGCCAACCCCTCCGAGGACCTCAGATGACGACAAACCTGAACTAACATACAAAACTACCAAATTTTCTTTAAGTTTGATCACAACATATAATCATTGCTAATTTGCTATTAATAGTGTTCACCGTTTGTTTGTTTGAATATATGTCATTAACTAACTGCATGATTTTTACTGTACATTTCTGTCATATGAACATCACCTTGACATAGTCACCACTGATAAGCTACTCCTAAATATAATGTAGAAACTATAATTTTCTGTGAAGCTGCTTTGCAACGATTTTTATCGTGAAAGGCGCTATACAAATAAACGTGAATTAAATTTAATTGAATTTAGGACTTAAAAGCGGCTGGTGCAACCCTACCCTGCACTTTAAAAACAGCAGACAGCATTAGTTATGTTTGTGCCTGTGTCTAATTCCTCGCTCTCTTTCGTCAGGGCTCTTTGCCACAGTGACACTTAATGGGGTGTTAAAGATGTGACAGGCTGTCTTCAGTCTTTCTTTTGGTGTGGAGAATGGGCTTGAAGACTTCCGAGGCTTTAAACCCAACTTAATGTCTTTCTTTCTCTCTCTCTCTTTTTTTTAGACGGAAAGTCGCTGCGGAGCACTCGCTGAAATTCGACTCTAAGTAATACCAGCTTTGAGAGCTCAGCACATATTTGGCAGGAGGCGAGCCATCGTGTAACTCCAAGCAGTGCAACATGAGAACACCAACTGGACCGACCTTTATTACTTTATTAACGTTTTTCTTTTTTTTCACCTTTTTTCATCCTAGCAAATCTCATGTTTACTTGTTATCAAACCCAATCCACAAGCTAGTAGTTTCCCATAGATTTCTGAAACAAACAATACATTCATCCAGAGAAACCGCATGTAGTAAAACCAACCACACCATCAAAAACACGGTCCTTGAGCTATGATAATGCAGAAGATAAAGGTTAGAGGGTAGACTGAGATGGCCTTTGTGTTTGTTCTGAGGCTGGCGGAAAATCTTGCGGCTGGCGGGATGCCCCGAGTATGATCACTGCTTTCATCGTAAATCTGTTTCAGACGCCGGTGGTGATGCAGTGCTGCGGATGTGAGCCCGAAGACGAGATGCTTCCTCATCTAATGAGTCATTAGGAGAATCTGAGACAAGCGGAGAATGGGGACAAAACGTCCCATTTAGCTTTGCGGGAAACTGAGGAGGGATTTAGGGATATTGAGAGGACTCAAGTGGCTGCTGCGGGGTCCTGTTCAGGTGTAGGTTGAGTATATAATATTCCTTGGAATGCTGATATTATTTCTAGACTGGATCGTATCCATTCTGGCTGAGATGTTGTAGCGTCTTTTGATTTGTTGACTTGCATATACTGCACGTCTGTATGCCGTTTGTGTGCGGAGTCCGGCTAAAGTTGAGAATCTGGAGGACTTTTCTTTTTGCTTTTTTTTTGGAGCCCTCCATAATAACTACCAGGTGTTCTGGCATTCTCTGGATTCTGAAGGCCTTCGCTTCAGAAACATGCATTTCCTTCATCTCTCCCTGTTTCAGACGCCGGTGGTGATGCAGTGCTGCGGATGTGAGCCCGAAGACGAGATGCTTCCTCATCTAATGAGTCATTAGGAGAATCTGAGACAAGCGGAGAATGGGGACAAAACGTCCCATTTAGCTTTGCGGGAAACTGAGGAGGGATTTAGGGATATTGAGAGGACTCAAGTGGCTGCTGCGGGGTCCTGTTCAGGTGTAGGTTGAGTATATAATATTCCTTGGAATGCTGATATTATTTCTAGACTGGATCGTATCCATTCTGGCTGAGATGTTGTAGCGTCTTTTGATTTGTTGACTTGCATATACTGCACGTCTGTATGCCGTTTGTGTGCGGAGTCCGGCTAAAGTTGAGAATCTGGAGGACTTTTCTTTTTGCTTTTTTTTTGGAGCCCTCCATAATAACTACCAGGTGTTCTGGCATTCTCTGGATTCTGAAGGCCTTCGCTTCAGAAACATGCATTTCCTTCATCTCTCCTCACTCACTCATTCGCTGCCTTCGCCACGAACACTCTCTCGATCCTCCTTATCCTCTCATTCTTTTTCTGTGTGCTTTACCTCTGTGCTGACATGAAGCTGGAAAAGAGCCCGAAGCCTCGGCGTGTGCTTGTTCGACCTGTTTCTTTCTCTGCGTGAAAATATCTTCCTCCTTTATCTAAATCTGAATCTCACCCTCTAATTCGTATCGACACGTGAACATCCAAGCAAATACATGCACGTATACGCTATGTTTTCTCTCTGTGTATTTTGAGACTCATGTACTCGTCTAACCCTTAAGTTCTCTTTTTATTTGGCAAAACTCTCCATTATTTGTTTACTTTTTCCACTGACCGATCCCCTAGCATGATCAGGGAATTCTTTAAAGCACCATAATTGCATCTCTCAGAAGTGGCGCATGTGTTTTTAATTATGAGGCAAATGCCTCTGTCTCTGAGTGCCAATAAATTGTTTGCAGCCTCACTCAATTAGTAGTGAAAGATTTGACGGTACGCACGGGCTGTTGCACATAGCGGCAGGAGGGAAAGGGGTAGGACGGGGTAGACATGTTCCGTAAATCTGATAACACATATTCCCAGAGCCGAGGGACTTGGGTAAACCAAGAGGTGGCACGGAAAATTACTAAAGAAAAATGGCAGAAGTTGCGACACTTCCACCATAATGAAAAGCCTAAAGCTGTAATGAAAAGCCTAAAGTCAAAATGAACCCTATTTACTTTCTAAACAAATGTTTCCTGGTTTTATTGTGAATGATTCATTGGTGCAGGTTGTTCCAAACAAAGAATTTCTTTCTCCTCTGAAACAACTTTTACTTTTCTGCTGATGTCACTTAGGCCATCAAGGCTATTGGATAATGTTAACCAATAGCCAAATAGTTATTTATTCAGTCTAACACTGATTGATAAAATCAAATAGGGACGCACAATATATTGGTACCATAACAGTAATCTTCTGATGTTAAAGTGCCCCAATTATGCCATTTCAAATATTGCCTTTCATGCAGTGTGTAATGTAGCTGTATGTGAATGTAAAGGATTTGCTAAGTTGTAAAGCTGAAAGTGCACAATAAAGAAAGTTATTGTCTCCCAAATGAAACCAATCAACTCTGAACAGCCTAAAAGAGTCGTCAGTAATTCAAATACCACTTGCGTGACAGCGACATGTCACGGGGGAACACATTTGCTTAATGCCCACCTATGTTCTATGTTGGCCGGCTGCAAACAACTTGACCCGCCCTCAAACACTGTAGTTTGTTCGTGTGGTTAACATCATGTCGAGAAGATGCTGTGTCCTACGCTGTGAAAGTAAATTTGTTTTATTTTCACTTCTGAAAGATGAGTCTGCAAAGAATCAGTGGTTAAAATTCACAGCAGTACAATCTTTTTTTTTTTTTTGGTGTTCTTGTCATTTTGCTGATGACTGCTTCTCTATTTTTGGGGTAGTTCAACGCGGGATTCCCAAACGCTTGCTCTTGAAAGATGGCTCAGTACACAGTTTATTTGGACCAGCTGGCTCCACTGAATCACAACCTGTAAGTATGATAAATAATAGATGTTTATATTTTCTATTGAGTGTTCAAAATACGGAACTACGAAAATGGGTGTATCGTTTCTGACGCGCAGTAAGCGGTAGACCAATCACAGCAGACTAAGCCATCTGACCAATCAGTGCAGAGTAGGCTCACGGAAAGGAGGGGTTAAAGAGAACCACTTCGAACTAATCGTTTGAGAATCATTGGAAAATGAAGTGATATGAAATGCATATTTTCAGAAAACGAAAGCGTTTTTTGACCTTGCATGCATGCAAACCTATTATAGGAGACTCCCAAAACAATATTAGGAATCTTAAAAATGGCAAAATAGGGGCACTTTAAAGATGTTTAATTAGTTTTATTCATGAATAATGGATATATAATTGTTCATGTTTTATTTTAATTTATTTTGACAAAATATAAATTTTAATATCTGCCTTAACATATAATACTAGTGTCATAAAAAATAAATTCACATTTTTATTTAGCAAGGATGCATAGTGAAAGAGTGACATTATTTTACATGGATACAGTTTATGTTACAGTTAATGCTGTTGTTTTCTGTTAATCAAAGAACCCTGAAAAAACCCCACAAAAATATTAAGCAGCAAAAACTGTTTTCAATGTTTCCTGAGCAACAATTCAGCATCAAATAAATGCAGTATTGCTGAGCATAAGAGTTCTATCAAAAACATTAAAAAATCTTACAGATCTCAAACTTTTCAACTGTACTGTGTTTAGTGTAAATAAGTGTTTGACTTTACTACTTGATGCTCTGCAAGTCTAATCACACCTTTAGAACAAGACTTGCTCAAAACCAAGCCCTAGGCTTTCAAACATGTCAGTTTTATTAATGTAACCACCACTGGAAGGCTGTGAGGGGAAAAAGCTGAATGCTGAAGGGATAACCAGCCACGCCAGGGGAAAACCAAGCCATTTCCTTCAAATCTGAGCTCTGACTGCTAGACTGGTTCATGATCGGGACAAGGGGGTGACTCACCCTCTACAATGCTGCATATACAAGCATAAATGCCTGAAAAACTCTCCCATGACTCATCCATCCACTTTTCTTCCCTAAGGAGATTGTAATCACTTGCCAGGACACATTTATGGTAATAGCATGTTGCTTCTTGCTGTGAGGAGCTTAATTTGATACTGTTGTCTACAATTGTGCCCATGCATTGAAAAGGCAGATGATGTTTTTAATAGCTGTTATTAAGACACGGCTTGCCTCAACAGATATCCCAACAAATGAAGGCAGAATGTTGTGCAACAAGTACAATCAAACCGAGACATGAACTCACCTTGGAAATATAGGCTTTGATACCCTCAGCTAGCTTGATGCAAGGTTCTCCAAACAATTGGGCCAGGTCTTCGGGAATGTCCCGGTCTTTATCCAGGGCGTTGAGCAAGCCCAAGCACCGCAGCTCTTCTGTAACCCCCTGATTTTTAACCTGCCAATAGGATAAAAGTTTTAAAACAAGCCCAATTCAGAGACACTTGGAATCAGTACATTAAAATGAGGTTTGAATGCAACGTCATCCCAAGGAACAATGAAAATGGCACTTTGGTTTAGGAAGCAAATTGGGAAACAATCAACAGGGAGCTGAAGGCATGCTCAATGAGGAAACAATCTGCTCAAGGCTGGAGCGTAGGCTGAAGATCAAAATGAGGGCATGTATCCCTCTTGACCCTTTCCAGGAAAGTAGATGAGAACATCTGCAAAGGGGCTTCTATGGAAAGCCAGTGGGGTACAAGTTCAGCTCAAGACTTTGAGCCAGCTGGAGAGGTATGTCCTACATAATGAGGTACTTTGAAATGACCTTGCTCTGAAACCCTTGCTCTTATTTTCTGTCCCGTTCTCTCTCTTTCTGTCTCTGTTCAGAAACCCAGTGTCTTTCCAAGAAATATGTCGCCAGTTAAGGATCTCTGTGTGCAATTTTGAAGCCTTGAGTCACGGTCCGCCAAATCTCTTAATGACTCTCCAGTTGCCGACGGAGCGTGGCAGCAGAAGGTGTGTTTCGTTAACTCTTACCACGTTATGGTTTTCAAAGCGAGTCGGGCAGGTAATGAGGGTCCTACATGGTGAGCAGGGCTGCGCTCACAGGAACAGCTCAAGACTGATCTGAGATCAGTTTTGCAATTTCTTGTGTGACCACACAAACGAGGCTGGTCCTAGTCCTGGAAGGACTTACAGTATTGGGGCTAGGCTCCTTCATTTGTGTTGATCGACAACCCATTTGCAGTTTTGTATCATGGGTAAGCTTGGGCTGGTTCTGGATCAGCACATTAAAACGACTTCAGTATAAGCAGAAAAGTACATTAATAAGAAAGGTTAGTTTAGTAGCATGTTACAGTTTACATTATTTACTGAATTAGGTTTTAACTTTTTTTACAGCATCCATTAAATTATATTTTTATATATTTCTCTATAAATAAATATTAAAAATCATTGTTCATTCATAATACATGACAATTAGAGTTAGAGAGTTGGATTTGTACCCCGAAGGTTGTGGGTTTGAGTCTCAGGTCCGGCAGGAATAGTCAATGGGGGGGGAGTGAATAACCAGCACTCTCTTCCACCCTCAATACCACGACTGAAGTGAGACCCTTGAGCAAGGCACTGAACCCCCAACTGCTCCCCGGGCGCCGCAGCAATATGGCTGCCCACTGCTCCGGGTGTGTGTTCACAGTGTGTGTGTGATCACTACTGTGTGTGTGCACTTGGATGGGTTAAATGCAGAACACAAATTCCGAGTATGGGACACCATACTTGGCCACACGTCACTTCACTTCATATAGGGTAACAAGGTTATATTTACCACCTGAGCTATTTCTGATCTTCTTTTTTCACCTGGAAAATAGAAACGCCCTCTGACAGGTTACTTGATGTGTCATATCTTGTGCTTGCATGTACATGTTCAAAACCTTCTTAAACGTAAACAACTACTTGTCATGTAAGTGCCTACTTCCTCGTATTTCTCTTTTAGAAATGGGTCAGTCACACGTGCCCTGAATGGAATCTAAAGTACTGTCCAGGGTGTGGAGAAGTATGAGCCAGAAATTGATCATTTGTCATCATGAGTTACACCAAATAAATTCAACAACTCCGGGTCAATGCTGCTACACCCTAATACATGTAAACTTTGACAGTATTGCTATACGTAATCTTTCACAGATGGGCCGACTCACAAAAATCATGTAGCTCAAAACGCGGTAAATTAAGTAAAATCAACATAGATGGTGGTATTGAGTCACTGGTAGTGAGACTAGTGGAGCTCTGGAGGGTTTCTGATCTCAGAGAGGGCAGCAGGAAGTGGGGAACAATGCTTCAGTGTTAGCCCTCATTTCTGTAGCTCGGGAAAAGAAGCCACCACTGAACTTTCTGCTTCATTCCACATCCATTGCTTTTTTGGGAAAGGATTAAATAAGAGAAACCAGGCGTGTAACTTAAATCCATGCTCCGGGCTCTCTGTCTCTGCATCTCACTATAACGTCTCACCCTTCCTCTTGCTTCTCTCTTTTTATGGTTACTCCTGATCCATATGTATGTTTATTCTAGTTCCCCCCTGCGGTCTCAAAGAAAAGAAAGCAGCCTGAAAGTTGGTCGTGATCTAAATGACTGAAGCCCTGCATCTTCGGACGAATTCCCAGAGGGCTACAGGTTTGTCTAAGCAGGTCTTCAAAGGAAATTCCAGCCAAATATTCAATTTATGCATTTGGCAAAGAACAAACTCTGAGGAGATTATTCTCTTTCTTTTTCCTTCTCCAGAAGACCACACTGAAGTCAAAACCTCTCTCTCTGGCCTTGGGTCGACTAGTCTCTAAAAGCAATAAATCATGTCACGTTAAGGAGGAAACCTCCTTTCTGAGCAAAGTTTGGTTTTTATTTAGACTCAGACAATGAAGTGTATGCAAACAAGTTCAGTAGGTGCTTTCCTCACAATGACGAGTTTCTCTAAAATTAGCGCATGACTACAAGTGAACCTTGATATAGGCGTGTGACACAAACAACAAGTTAAAGTTACCAATACAGTGCATAGTCAGCATGCCTTTGGCCCTCTAATATGCACCTGTACATACAAGCATTCGACTTTACAATGACCGGTGCCATTGTGTGTGGCAAAAGCCCCGGTTGCCAAGGGTAACAATCCTTTTTTTCTTATAATCACCTTTGTCTTGGCTTCTCTCATTGGCTCATAAACCTCTGGTAAATAGCCAATGAAGACAGGCCTTATTAAGAGTCCATTGTGATGCGTTTTTAAAGCCCTCTGGGTGTTCTATGAAGTCTCGGGCCATCACCGTCCCGTTCTGCTCTGTCTGACTGAATGTTACAATTCTAGAATACTAACTATGTGCCTGTCAGTGGACCCCGGCTTCTTTTCCCCATCCAAATGGGGCCCCAACAGTCGTCTCGCTCTACTAGAATATCTAAGTAATTCTGAGAAGCAGGATTTTCCCCCCCGTCCACACGTAATTAATACAGAAATTAAACATGACATGGACAGATTGGAGTAATTATGAACTTATTTTATCTCAAGTTACTTGACTGAATAGCACGTTTTAGCCTCCTTTTGGGACTAATCACGTCAGAAATGTACTTTTTATGTTAAATTTGATTATTGTCAAAAAAAGGCCGATAAAATGCCCCTACATGTCGGTGGAACATTCCGTCTGCAGTTTTCATTGCTGTGCTAATGGCGCTAAATGAGGGAGTAGCATTGTTTATTAGCTGTCCTGTTGGTGTAAACCAGTACTTTGTTTGTCCTTGCAGACTCTGATAATGGAGTAAAATGGAGGTGTTTACTCGTCTTTTAGGACAACACTGTGAGCATCCCATCTGGTCAGTGCACCAACAGTGAGCACAGGATATTTATGTTACTGCTGAAGAATGTTCATTAGGCAACAGCTGTGTGAAAAAGAAAAAAAAAAAGATTTTTTTTTTTAAGCACATTCTCACTCAATATCTCACAATTATTTTCTTGCTTTTCAGCTTGTCATTGTGTTGAATTGATGACTGTCCCTTTGGAAAAAAAAAAGGATCTTTAATCCTTCAGCAAACACCACAGTGACGTTTAATCCTTGAAAATATTTTCCTAGGGCTTTTTGTTCATGTACGACTGAAACTTCATCATAACCAGGGCCTGCGAAATAGGCCAGGAGATATTTCAAACCCGTCTCAGATTTATTAGAAAAGTAAGCGTCTTGTGCATTACACAAGATTTATTCTGAGAAGTGAATCATTGCTTGGCCTAGCTTGATTTATTTTGGAACTACAAAAATAAAAAGCTACTCTGTGCTCCCTAATCAATTTAATTGCAGGACGACAAATTTGAAAAATGTCTTAAATATCTCAAAGCCACTTTATATTTGTGAAATATATTCACAAATATATTCCAGAGCTTTGTCCTCTTGTCAGTTTTGTATTTATGGTTGAACCAGTCCGTGTAACACTGGAAACTATCCATACCTTCTTTGGGCCTGGCAAACATAACGTAACTTGAATCCGCAAAGAATTATCAGAGAAAAGCAGCCACAATTAGCTATAATTATATGTTCTACATAAAAACCATGATATTAAAATGAGAACTAGAGGGAAAGACAGAAGTAAATTGAATAAGAATAAAGACAGAACAAGAAGGAGAGGGGAAAACAAGAGGGTGAGAGAGTGAGATGTTGTGGATCTTGGCAATAGAAAATGTCACAGGAGGTTTACCATGGGGAGCCCGAGAGGAGACGCACATTTGCTTGCAGGGTATTGCTTTACAGTGAATTTCTGTTATTGTTGATGAAAGGCCAGTCTAGAACTACACGTATCAACGTGTCAATTGAGGGAAAAGGAGATTGGTTCTGGTATAAACTGCAAACTGCAGCCCCAAAAGCAGGCACCATATAGTATTAAGACCCAGCACCACCTCCCAGCTCAGTCCGACGCCTAATCTAAATGGATTTTGTCAATCGTAGTTACTTATAAATAGGTCAGCTGTAACTCTGTTTAAATCCAATGGTGACAACTTGCGTGAGAGCTTCTGCCATTATCCTCCCTATTGTGTTTACAGTCTCACAGTGTGACCGTGAATTAACCTCACTTTCTTTTTCCTTTCAGAGGTAGAGCATTTATTTGAAACAATCAGTCTTATCTCACCAAGTGGTATCGTTTTACAGGCTTTGCTGTTCAAAGAGCACTTTTATATTGAGAGTATTACAGCCCTGTTAGTAACTTCATATATAGTTTTCATATTTTACTTTGAAATAACCTTAATATGGGTCCAGAGTTTATTAATATTCAACCGGATTTACAGAATCCTACCTCAACCATCCCTCCTAGGTTTTCACCTTGATTAGCCTTCAAACATATGGCTTAGAGTATGATTAAACACATTATTTCATCACAAAAAGGCAGAGCATGATCGATATGCACTACATGTTGAGTATATTTGCTGTTTTCAAAATGACACTTATCCAATAATCTCAACATTGTGATTCTGATTTATAGAATACATATGCTGTATTCTATGCTGTTGTGTGTATTTCAAGCAACTGTTGTTATCTATGAATCCAGACAAGGCAGTAAAGTATGCATATTAACTTTTGAAGGCAATGTAGCAAAGCAACATGACTTCCTTGTCTCAGTCTTTTGATTGAGTAATCCTGTTTTCGTTTTTTTTGTTTGTGTGTGCAGTTTTGCAAAATTAATGCATGCTGTTAATAATCACACAGTCTTTATTTTAGAAATATTTTTTACAACATTTGTTGTATTGTACTTTTAATAGTAGTAGTAGTAGTATATTAAGAATTTATAATATTGTTTTTATTTTTTTAGAAGTTTATCCACAAGCACACATTAAATGTGATTTGATTCTTCTAACAGTTTGAAGGAATCATTATGTTGATGTTTTGTGAAAGCCTTTAACGCGTCAATCCTGACTAAACAACAAGTGGTCAGATTAAATGAAAAGAAACTAAACCATTTTCCCATCCCAATCTCACTGCATTGCTCGCCTAATATGCTAATAGCATTCCCTCTGTATCTTGGAATATAAACGGATGCATCACTGCTGCTGGATCTGCAACTTGGTAGCTAAATGTTCTCCTCTGCTGCCAACCGTGTTTCAAAATGTAGTACGCTGACTACCTTGACAGCATGTTGCGGCATCACGGGCACTGGAAACACGAGTGAACATGCTGTCTATGCAGTGCACTGTGTTTTGAACGCGCCGTCGCCCCGAACGCGCCTGTGATGCCCAAAAATAGTGGCACGAAACTCACTAAAGTCACGGCCTGTGCGACAAGAAAAGAATCAGTGCAACTTAAATAACTTTACCTTACCTGCGATAAAGACAAGTTTAAATAGACAAAGAGTCCGGTGGTCGAAGCGATCTGCAGCACGACCACCACGATCACCACCATCGCGATACATAACTTTGACGGCGAGTCTCGACCACGGCTGTTCGCCGGAACCATCATGTATGCGCTGGACTCGCTGCTGACCGACCTGAAGTAATCCTGGTTGTTCTGAGTAGCCATGGCATTCCTAAGACTGAGTAGATACGCGGTTAGTGAGAAACAAACAGAAATCAGCAACGGGACGTTGAGTAAACTCCTTCTTGTTGGCGCAGAGCGGCCGTGGGAGGGTAGAGTCTGTCCCACACTCGCGTGCACTCACTAATGCTTTAGGACTAGGCTTGTGTGTGTGTGTGTGTGTGTGTGTGTGTGTGTGTGTGTGGTGGGTTGAGTCTTGAGAGTTTCTCAAGGTAGGCTACACTTTACAACTCATGACTTTTCCTCATACAAGATGACCCACTGAAAACAACTGCAATAGGAATAAATACATAGTAATAGATTTATATTGATCATTATTTTAAAATTATTGTGTCATCATATATTAAATAATATTGGTCATATTCTCCCAACCTACAGAAAAGCCCAGAATGCTCTTTCCATTCTACGGAAACCCATTAAACTTCTCATCCTTTTTGACTCTAAGGCACCCAATTGTCGATAACAGTATTCAAAGGCCCCACGAGTTTTCCAGTTGCTTATGATTTAATGGATGAGAATTAAGGATAGGGATTAAAATAAATAAAATATTTCTTTACAATTTCTTCATGATAAAATATTTACAAGTTTTGCATAACTATAAAAAATGCATATTCATTATAAAAATGCACATGGAGTTATAATAAGGTATTAAGTTACGTAACATTTCCAGGTCTATAAATCACACTTTTAAAATTAGGCTTCCTCATACTGTATGAGGTATGGTACCTATATCACGTTTTTTTTTTCAAAAACGTGTGGCCAAATCTTAAGAAAAACATTAAAGATAAATAATTCTAAGAAGTTCTTAAGAATGTTCCTACATTTCTTAAATTCTTTTATCAAATATTTACTTAAAACATCTTTTTGTCTCTTATAAACTCTTTATTGACATCTAGCCTATGGTTCCACGACGAAAAAGGCTCTTCAGATTATTAATGAACAAATTAATTATTCATGCTGCTTCAAAAAAAAAAAAACTTTTGAGAGGGGTAAATTAAAATAAGAAATCTTGATTTGTTATTGCTTATTCTCTATTACTTGCTTTTGTTGCTTATTTTATGCTTGTTTTATCTTATTTTAAACCATTTTAAGTTATCTTGAGGCCCCCTTGGAAGTTGAGAATGCTTGGTTTAAATAAACTGGTTTGCCGGTCTTCAAGTTTAAGATGGTCTAGACCAGGGATCCATCCTCAAATCTGGCCCACGAGATCCACTTTCCTGCAGAGTTTAGCTCTAACCCTAATCAAACACACATAAGCATGCTAATCAGTGTCTTCAGGATCATTAGAAAATCACAGGTAGGTGAGTTTGATCAGGGTCGGAGCTAAACTCTGCAGCGCATTGGCCCTCCAGGGCAAGATTTGAGGGATCTTATTTTAAACCATTTTAAGTCATCTTGAGGCCCCCTTGGAAGTTGAGAATGCTTGGTTTAAATAAACTGGTTTGCCGGTCTTCAAGTTTAAGATGGTTTAGACCAGGGATCCATCCTCAAATCCTGGCCCACGAGATCCACTTTCCTGCAGAGTTTAGCTCTAACCCTAATCAAACACACATAAGCATGCTAATCAGTGTCTTCAGGATCATTAGAAAATCACAGGTAGGTGAGTTTGATCAGGGTCGGAGCTAAACTCTGCAGCGCATTGGCCCTCCAGGGCAAGATTTGAGGAACCCTGGTCTAGATAGACCAGCTGAGAAGTGTCCAAAACCCCTCTAAAACCATAAACCATCTTAGGATGGTTTAAGATATTATTTTGAAGCAGGGTGAGTAAAACCATTATATTTATATAGAACTTATTTGTATAGTCCTTAAAATGAATGTTAGACATACCTGGACTTAAAACATGCAGATGAATTATTAGATATATTAACAAACTGAATTGCTGGTGGGCTATATCTGAGAAGGACAAGATAACAAATGCAGGGGACCTGGTTTGATGACCTTTACTTACTTAACAGAGCCTTGTTTTTGTAAAGGTAAAAGATATTAAGGGGAAAAAAAGAAAGATGACCTAGAATGATCTGTGTACATCTGACTAAAACAACTGAAGATGAAAGACTTTGAGTATATCTAATAAATTACATTTATCACTTGCACTCTTCAGCCATCTTAAACATTCCAGTCGTCTTGAGATAAACGGTCCATGGTAAAACTGAAGGGACACAAAACTTCACTCCTCTCAACACACTGTAAATATATCTGTCTGTTTTAGCCATAAACAGCAGGAGACGAGCATCGTGTGTGAGCCGGAGCATATGTTTGTCTATATTAGCATCTAGTGGAGATGGAAGACAGATGTCTTATGTCAGATGTTCGGTTGGTCGAGGCCCACGGTCAGCCGGAGAAGCCAACCAGACTGATGCTCTCACCTCGTCCGCAGATCATCGCTGGTCTCTGCTATGGAAGTGCATTGAAAGGGGTGAGCAGCTAATAGATATATGAGACAAGTCCTCATGGATGGATATCTCATGTCTGCTACTGATTGTCTGTCAAATGATTTCTAGCAATGGTATTTAGTGCTGGTTGCATGATGCTTAGAGTAGTCTTAGAATTTAGTCATCTAATTTTTTTTTCTTCAAGACTGGTCATAAGTTTGTATAGTAAAAAGGTAGACTGGTCTTATTTGAATCGTAAAAGTAAGACAGTCATCATAACTGGTCCCTGAACTGTAGAGATGAGAGATATAAAATCACTGTACATCAAGACAACTGCCAGTTTTCTGAAATGTTATATTTAAGTATGCAAGCGAGACATTAATTAAATATGGACTAATTTGCATACATTTCCTGAACATTGATTTAAGGCAGGTTCAAAATTTGTTTCATTTTTGCTGACATATTAGAATTAAAGGCTTTTAAAGAGCACATTTTGGATATCTTATTTTTTTTAAGTCAGAAACTACTTTCAACAGCCTTCTATTTGACATGTTTGGCTCAGTGCATGAGTTAAAAAACCTCAGCCTTCAAAGACATGTATTGTAATTTCAGTCTACAGATGCAAATAGATAAAGTATAATAATATGAACGTTTAAATGTGTTTTTTTTGCATTACTGATTGTCTGTCAAATGATTTCTAGCAATGGTATTTAGTGCTGGTTGCATGATGCTTAGAGTAGTCTTAGAATTTAGTCATCTAATTTTTTTTCTTCAAGACTGGTCATAAGTTTGTATAGTAAAAAGGTAGACTGGTCTTATTTGAATCGTAAAAGTAAGACAGTCATCATAACTGGTCCCTGAACTGTAGAGATGAGAGATATAAAATCACTGTACATCAAGACAACTGCCAGTTTTCTGAAATGTTATATTTAAGTATGCAAGCGAGACATTAATTAAATATGGACTAATTTGCATACATTTCCTGAACATTGATTTAAGGCAGGTTCAAAATTTGTTTCATTTTTGCTGACATATTAGAATTAAAGGCTTTTAAAGAGCACATTTTGGATATCTTATTTTTTTTAAGTCAGAAACTACTTTCAACAGCCTTCTATTTGACATGTTTGGCTCAGTGCATGAGTTAAAAAACCTCAGCCTTCAAAGACATGTATTGTAATTTCAGTCTACAGATGCAAATAGATAAAGTATAATAATATGAACGTTTAAATGTGTTTTTTTGCATGTTTTCTTTCCACTAGTCTGAAGGAAGATATGTTATGGAAGCAAAATCACCCCAAAAATCTCAAAACAGGTCAATAGATATGGACAAAAACACTTTTGAGCCAATTTTCAGAAAATCCTTTCTTTTTCATTTGCAGAAAGAAAGTAACTCAAACCGGTTTGGAACAACATGAGGTAGAGTAAATTATGACGTTTTTTCATTTAACTATCCCATTCATTTTTATTTATTTATTTGAGTTACCTATTCCTTTAATATAGTGTGACACACATTGGATCACATTATGAACTGCAGATTACAGAGAAAATTACGTGTTTTACACACAATGACCTTATCTTCATGATAGATAGGGCCTGCAAAGAGCCCGATGTGAAGATTCTTTAAAAACCTGAACACACATCGCCATTCTCCAGAGCAAACATGTTTATGTATTGTGCTCATTTTAATTTATTTAGTCTTTTATGCAGTTTACCTTCTCCGCCGCCTCCTTTATGGCCTGTTTGATCATATAAATACGAAGGATTGCTCGCCATCCCTGTTGACTTAAGTCACGGCGCTTCAGTGCTTCGTTAGGCTTGAATGATACGAATAGAAAATATATGAGTACATTGAGTCTGTGAGGCCTGTTTAGTGTAAGGAATTCCTTTACATGTGTCTGGCTCTCATTGTAGAGAATAAATCGATGGATCATAGCTTTGGGAAAAGGGTGGGAGGAGGGGGTTGTTGGGAGATTTTCCAGAACCCCCATGATCCATTTGACTCTATATATGTCAGCACTGTTGCAATCATTTCTTCCCTTCTCTCTCTTCCCCACTCCCTTTTATCTTTTTTTCCATATGCATGTTTTTTCACTGTCTCTCATTTTTGGCAGTGATGGCTCCTCAGACATTGAAACAAACACTTCTCCAGATGCGTATAAGGGGGCTGGACTGATAGCCATTGTGTCTTCACTGACACTGCAGCTGTGAAGTCAGTCCCCCTTGTGTATGAGAATATGTGTGTGTGTGCGGGAGAGAGCAATGGGAGACTGATAGAGCGAGGCAGAGGGTCACAGAATGAGTATGTGCGATTTTGTGTGTGTGTCCCTGATTTTCAAGCTGTGGTCGCCAAGAGCGGGAGTGAGTGGGATGCAGGTTTTCACTAAAGCGCATTCCTGCCATGTTAGGTATCACTGCTTGGGGAGTATTAATGGGATGCAGTAAAATATTCCTGCTTTTTATACACCCCGCAAAGCCCTGCGCAGCTCCATCATAAAACAGCTTCAACAATACAGCATTCACTGTTTATCATTTTCAGACACGCTTTATTATAGGTACTGACATTTTTTTGAAAAATAACAACACGGGAACATACAGAATACAGGATCTTTGGTCAAGAATGTGTCAGTGTGTTTTGGGTGGTAGTAACTTCCAAAGCTGATATGTAGTCAGATTTCCGCTTACCTAATAACAGCTGTGGTTTGAGGGCTTGGACCGGTAGAGCAGATCTCATATAAACAGACAGCGTGCATGCAGCTGTTTCGTCTTTAAGGGCTCACTTTCAATGGGTCAGAGTGAAATTGATTATAACTGTGTATACTTTGTCATGACATTGTCTCCTTTTATTAATGTTTGGGATGTGAAAGATTGTGTGGATTTTCTGTCTTTATTTCAGGGGGTGTTGCATGGATCATTGACCAGTTCTGCAAGGGTAAGGCTTCAAGATCAGCACACGTTGTCAATCAGGTGCTGCAGATGCTCCAGGAGAGAATCGGAGCTCTTATAGTGTCCTCTGCTGGTCTCTTGCTGCATGTCACAAAACTCATCGAGAGACGCCATCAAAGCACCCACTGTCCAGCTATTCAGATGGGCACTCCGAGAGAGTCTGCAAAGCTATGGGAAAGTAATAAAAACAAATAAAATTATTTTATAATATAAATGATAGAATTCATTGTGATGACTTCTAATGAAACTGATTGGCTCTTTCAAAGCAATTCAGCTATGGGTAGTATAATGCATGCCATCTAATTCAATAGGTTTGAGTTTATTACAAAAGTATAAAGAAGCACTATCCTTATACTTCTATAATAAACTCAAACCTACTCTATTAGATGGGGACCAGGACTGTTGTAAAATGAGTTGAAGAACTGTCACGTTTAACCACTTAGAAATGATTAAAAATGATTTACAGGACAAAAACCTTTTCAGAAAGAAAAATCAGTTCAATTCACTTCTGGGTTTTAATTTGATTTGCGAATATGTTTCCACATTTACTTCTACTGGAACTTCAATTCAAACATTTTTAATTATGATGCCATTGTTACTGACTTGTTCTATTTGATTTATTAAATAATTTTGGTTTGTGATAAAATGTTTCCTTTTTATTATTATTATTTTTAATTATAATGCTCAAAAGTCTGTCTATAACTCAAAGCTGATGTTTCAGACAACAACTGGAATAGTTGTTATATAGGGTGAGTTGAAACACTGTTAGTTTAACCACATACATACAAATTTCAGGATGAAAACTCAATTCTGGGATTTGGTTTGCCTATTTACTTTTACTGAAACCACGCTCCAAACCAATTTTAATGGTAAGCCAATATATATATATATATTTTTTTTTCTTTTTCAAAAATTAGGAAAAAAAGTAAAATTTGATTTCCAGCATAAAACAAAATCAGCACAAAATTTAACCTGATGTCAATGTCCTAGGCAACCTACCCCACCTATTGTTACAACTCAAAAATACAGCATTAAAGACCATTCACACCAAGAACGATAACAATAACGATAACCGTTTCAATAATCCTTCAAATTCTACGAGAATAGAGAATTCCACACCATAGCTAAAGGCCTGTTCTTACCAAGAATGTTTACTATATTAACAATGGACCACTGAACGCTAACGTACTTATGTTTATTATAAGCATGTGCTGCAGCTGTCATCTGCTGCTTTAAATGCTCGAGCTTATTAAAGCCGGGTGGATTCTGATTGACTGTTATTGTTTTCATCGCTCATGAGCTGCAAAAATCATTCTGAAAGTGATTCCGATATTAATCTTCTGTCTTGTTATCATTATAGCTGTGGTGTGGACTTTCCTATTTTCCTAGAATCTGAATGATTATTAAAACTTTATAGTTATTGTTTTACTGTAGGTATTGTCCTTGGTGTGAACGCCCTTCAGACATTAAAGCAAACAGTGTTACAACCAGCCACATTTTCCTCTGTTACAGAGACTATATAAAATTCAGTCTGTGAAAACTGTAATATTTTGTACCTTTTGCTGAAGGCTTTTGTCTGGTAGACAAAAGCCTCTTTTCTAAAAGGCTGTGGCCCAGAGTAGAGCACATTGCAGTTCCTGGACAAGAACGCATCTTGATTACCCATGGTGTAATGTCTTTCTCTGGGTCAAATTCTGCTCCCTGAGATTGCTTATAGTTAAACAGTAAGCTGGAAGCAGCACACACAAAATTCTGAAGCACGTCTTCTGCAAAGTTGTTGGCAAATGTGTGTACCGATGATTTCACTTTTATGGCGTCATCTGTAATGGGGTTCAGTTCTGATTTATCGTTGCGACATCTGAAGGTTTTGGCTTTGTGGGAGCTGACTGAGTCTTTACAGTGTGTTTGAATATCTTCATTCTTCCCATGGCTGTGGTTCTACAGCTTGGCCCGAAAGATGTGGCTGGGTTCTATGTTTAAACACATCCTGTCCTAGCTTAGCAAAAGCATGAACCATGGCGTTAAAGATTAGCTAAAACTTTCACCCTGTCTGTTGCAGAGATCATAGACCTTGTGTCTGGAGCCATGTACCTTATACGTTGAGTATGCTGTTGTTTATTTCTCCAAGACCTTCCTTTCTCCTCTCGCCATCACCTTTCACTCGCTAGTTGGTCAGCAATAACCCACATGCTTTTCACACAACCCTCATCCTTTGATCTGGTTTGTGGTGATAAAATGAAGGATATCTGCAGAAATTTGAGCTGCAAAGTCAGTCAGCCTGGGAACATCATTTTGGAGTCCACCATCATCAACTTCTCCATCCTTGCTTTCTTCTAAGCCTCCGTTTCGACAGCACTCCAGTGAATGTGAGCGCATAAGTCTCACCATGAAGTCAGTGGACGTGTCTGTCATTTGGTTCTCCATTAGTGGTTGCATGTGGTCTTTGGGGGTCGGTGGAGGGGGTGAAGGAAGGAATTCTTTAGCCAGTCCTCCCTTTAGCTTCCTTGTGAAACTGGCTCGACTCTTTATCATCTCCGGAAGTAAAGGGGTGCTTGGAGGAGCATCAGGGTACTCAATAGAGCCCAGACTAGCCATGCTCTTCAATGAAGTAGCATATACTGTGGTAGATGTGTCATCATATTCCTCCATCTTGTTGTCTGTTTCCATTTCAGATGTGTTTTTATCACAGTTGTACCCCGAAGAGCACAGAACCAATGCATTTCCATAAGTCCCCTCCACAACCCCGTACTTCTGGATGATGGATAATCAGAGTGATGATGCCTCTACATCTCTTCCAATGCTTTGCAACAGACTTGTAAAGTTAACTCTTCAGCTAGCATCTCAACATCGTCCCCTCTCACGTTGACGGATTCTCTTGGGTTTCCGATCCTGGCGGCTGAATCTATAATAGCTTTGGCTGTCATCTGTGCAAAGTGTTGAATGGGCTTTAAATTCTGTTCTAATGTTACATCCAGCAAATGGCTGTATGTTTCCAAAGGGTGTTGGAATGATGATGGGTTATATGCAGGTTGTGGGTATGATTCACCATGGATTACTACCTGGGCCGAGTCCTGAGAAGGTCGTAACAGAAAAGTGAAGACTTTACTTTCAAAAAGTAAGGTTGCTAATACAATTTATACAGTAAACAATTTATACTTTTATACTTTAGCTGTTTTTTCTATGGTGTTAAATATTTGTAAACTTAATTTAGAAGAGATTGAAAAGTCTCACAACTAAAGTATTTACTTGCAGGCTTTTAATATACTTTTATACTAAATACTATGCTAACATTTCTGTACTTGCATCAGAGTGAGCAGATTCTGAAGTGGTGACTAGATCACACAGTTTAAGTGAGCTGCACAGCCAATCCTCATTATTCATCTGGAAAAGAGATTGAACAAGATGTAATTTAGGGTTGGACAATATATTGACATATAGGTTTTTCATCCTGTAAAGTTGTGATGCCTAAATTCACTTTTAATTTAGGCATCACACCAGTGACTGAATTTAGTGATTTATTTTTTTTATGTATTTATACCAAATTATAATTATTGCCCAAAACGTTATTCATATTTCCCCATGAGCTACATATATATATATATATATATATATATTTAGTGTTTTTTTTTTGAGCCATGATAAAGTTTACTTTGTATCTCAGGACGAGGTTGACAGAAGTTCATTGATATTCTAGTGCAGGGTTTCTCAATAATGCTCCTGGAGATAAAACACCCTGCATAACTTTCTTCCAACTCTTTCCTAACATACCAGCCAATGATTTTCAAATGCAATTGAAGGTTGTGATTCTTTGGAGGTAGATCTTCAAGAGCATGATTGAGTAATCCTCTTGGAGTACATGATATTCAATTATGGCTGAGGACAGAAGAAGGCCTATTCTCTATTACAATGTGTGAAGGTTTGACTGGTATCTGTTGCACCCCATAAACTCCCTATTTTCTCCATAGACAGTTTCAATGTTTTAACTTATGAAGTGTTTGGCTAGTACATCCTGAGTGCTGAAAATTTGATAATGGTGATATTAGAGATCAGGAATGAAAATAAGCAAAGAAAAGTAAATTTAAAATCAAAACACTATGTGACTAACTAAATTAATCCAAGAACAATGGAAGAAAACCAAGTCTCAAATGAGCTGAAAAAGAACTGAAAACCCCAAGTGATCACCAGATGAATTGCTCTTACAGGAACTAAGTCTTGTGACTGAACGGAAAGTATGAAAGTATAAGGGCAGATGTTTCAATTTACATTTTTACAAATGTAAACTGATACAGACTGATATGAAAAATCATGGTTCTAGATCATAAGGCAACCTTTACCCAATGCAACATATGAAGAAAAACAGAAAAGAGGCTTGTGACGATGTCTGTTTAAGCTCTGATAAACATCTGCTCAGACTAACACTTGTAAAGGACTTTTGCAGCAGCGCCCACATATTTATTTAATTTGGCAATGAATGCTACAACACATGCATAACCTGTTAGCTGCAGTCAGTTCAAGTTAAATTGTAAGCACATTTAAAAAGAATTTGAAATAAAAGTTCTCATGGGCAGTGCTGTGGAGGACATCACCTTGGAAAAGTCTTTGGTTTTCTAATCTATTGTTTATGTTTCATAATTCTTTGACATTTTCAAAGGAAACATGAAACACTAGATTTTCTGCTAAACCACAGATGATGGAAATTTTCTAAGGAATAATAAAATGTGTGTGTGTGTGATCGAATGGTCCAAGGAAACGCATGCTCTTTGACATCAAATGTCCCATTAAACAACATTGTAGAAGGTGGGATTCATTGTATTTCCTGGTATTGCTAAAAGATATTATTGAGAAGTAAAATCATGCGTGAAACACATTAAGAGCACTTTTTGGTTGTAGAACAAAGCTGGAATGAGACAGCACCTTGAGTATGAAAGACATACCAGTAATCAGATGTAACCTAATGTATCAAATGTCACATAACATGGTTTTAAAATGGCTGATAATATGATTTGCATCCCCATGTTTTAGAGTACTGAGAAACAATTGAATTTATCTTTCAGCAAAATAAAATGATTTATTATGTGCAAAACAAGAGGGCAAAGCAGGCAGACAAACTTTTAAAGTATGCCTATTTAAGATATTCAAACAAAAAGGGAAAATATCATTTCAACCAAAAAATTATTAAATAAAAGGAAAATAAATTCTGCAGAAAGAACAATAAATAGTGGTAATAATTAACTAAATTAATTCACACACTGGTAAAAATATATATTTTTTCATACCTTGTTGAGGAATATCAGTCAAACAAGTTCGTCTCGAAAGACCTGCGTATGTGAATGATGGGGCCACAGGCAGTTTGCAGACTAAGCTGATTTCCTGTGTGAAAGACTTGTAAGTGTGCGTGTGGGTGGCTGGGAGGTGTGGCTTCATTGCAAAGACAATAGTATAAATAATGTTCACAATAAGCGAAGCAGTTACGTAACATTATTACAATTATTTTATCTAATAAGCAGAACCTCAGATGGTGTCATTTCCAAGCACATTCTCTTCAACGTCCGCTTGCTCAAAAATCAGTGAGTGGAACCCGAGCGTTCTTCCTATTGGTTGCTACGGTGTTTTGAATTTGAAATTCTATTGTCCCGCCCCTTAACAACGGCATCCTAGCTCGACGCTGATTGGCCTACAGCAAGGTGCAGTCGGCCAATCAGATCGCTGCGTGTTGTTTTGGACGCATGCAGACTGTAGTGTAGTGCGGTGTGGTGTGTCTGTTTCAGTCTGAATAGCTTTTCGTTCTACTTTTCGTGAATGTTTGCACACATTCTGTTTCAAAATATTTTCCTGCTTTAACTGAGGTTGTTCAGCGTATGGTGAAAAGGTAAGATCGTTTTTGCGCGTTTTTGTTGTTTAACGACCGACTTGATGCTTCCTGCGATCAAAACAGTTTCTATACCGAGTGTGTGTGTGTGTGTGTGTGTGTGTGTGTGTGTGTGTGTCGGATGTAACTGTGCACTATGCATCAATAGTACATAGAGACCTTCAGCTGTTCATTCATTCTTTGTATACTTCACATTTGAAACAGGATACAACTGTGAAGGATCAGAACAACAAGATGCCGTTTTCAAGAGGAAAGAACCCCAATACCAGTAAAATCCCCAAACTTCACCCCAAAGGACTGGAGAACCAGGTATACAATGAGATTAGGGCAGATCTGAAAATGAATTCGAGTTTTGCTGATTTGGTTTGTTGATCTGATCAATATTGTATTGATGTGTTTGAGCAGGATGGCCCTCAGACCAAGCGCTCATCTTCTTCTCCCCAAGGGGCCCCTAAGAAAAGAACTGCTTTTGTGGACATCACAAATGTAAGGGTGCCATTTACATTTTTGTTCATACGTGTTTTTGTACAGACATGCACCACAGTTTTATTGCTTTCGTGCTGCCTGACTAGGCGGTCCATCAGTGTTTTTTGGCCCCTTGGTATGATTCTGATGATGCCAAACCAGTAAGTGTTGAATGTCTGTCTTGTAACCCCACTAACACCAGGAGTTTGCTTGAATGATGCAAATCAGCACAGATTTAGCATGTCTCATGAGCTCATTGAAATCCCATTCATGCTCGAGCTGTAAATTACAGATTGTACACAAAAGCAGGAGATCTCATCTTTTATTAACTCAGATGGGCTCTCCTTTGGTGGGTCTGGGTTTCCAGGTGAGGTGCACTCATATGCAAATTATAATGATAATGATGGCTCTATTCGCCGTTGTCTAACACCTTGTATTCATTCTCTCTGTCTCAGATCCAACTGATTTGATTGATTTGATGTGACTCATGCTCGTTTTAACAAATTAAACCCAAGTACAATGTTGTGTTAGCAGTTTTTAGGCTGAACTTTGACCTAAAATGTCAGCAGATAAAAAAAAAAAAGAATAAACTGGTTCTTTAGTGAAAAGCCTCTCTTAAAATGCACTTTTGTTAAAAGGCACACAAGATTGAGCTAAGCAACCCCATCAAGAAGAAAGATCCTGTCAAGAAGCTGCAGAAGAAGGTCTCAGTACTCTCTAAGAATGATGTAAACTTAAAGTAAGTCATATTTTATTGGCTCTTTTTCTTTACCCTAACTTACATTGAGGTGTTTTGAATGTACTTTGAGATGATTGGCCCAGAATATGCAGATTGCTTATCTTTTCTTCCCTCAGATCTGTGGTCAATTCAGAGGAAAAGTTAGAGGAACTGAAGAATGTGGAGTCAATTATTGAGAAACTGGAAGAGTCCTCTTCCAAAGCTCCAATTCCTCCACACCTACTGCCTCCTGAGGTAAGGCCTAGGTCTGCTGCACTGGTGCAATGCTTATTAAGATCAGGAAATTATTACAGAATTGGCATGAATGTGGATATTTGCTGCTGGGCATATTTTTTAGTATTTTGGGGGTTATCCTTTCCTTAGAGATTTAAAACACACAAAAAACTTCATCATATCATATGTCTTTCAGATCCCTCCTGAGTATGACATTGATTCAGAGCACCTCAGTGACTCTGTGCATGCAGTGGAGTACGCCAAAGATATTTTTGACTACCTCAAGAGCAGAGAGGTTGGTTTTCTAGTGAGTTCATTAATGCTCTTGCAAGTTGAGGGACAGAGAACATCAAGCTAAAGTGTTTTTTATTTCTTTTATTTGCAGGAAAAGTTTGTCTTACATGACTACATGGCTGATGAGCAAAATCTGAACAGCAATATGAGAGCGATTCTGGTGGACTGGCTGGTTGAGGTCCAGGTAAGTGTCAATGTTTGTCATCGTGCTGTTCTGACAAGTCTGGTAAAACATTGTTGGCTTTTGGTGGATTAAGCACTGATGTGACTTTATTCTTGCTCTTTACTCTGCAGGAGAATTTTGAGCTGAATCATGAGACTCTGTACCTGGCTGTGAAAATGACGGATCATTATCTGGCTGTGAGCCAGGCCAGACGGGAGTCTTTACAGCTCATTGGTTCCACTGCCATGCTCATTGCTTCTAAATTTGAGGTAAGACATATGCTCTCTCATAATAGCTGAAAGCCATTCCTTTAAACTCACACTTTTCTGGGCTTAGTTGTAGTTATTCAAGGACTTAGTCATTCACTCATTATCTTGCACACATAACCTCATAGAAATGTAGTTACTTGTTAAAAGTATGCACTTAAAGTTTAAATCCAAAAGAGAAAAAGTTTAAGTTCAAATCCTATATAAATGTATAATATTATATTATCCAGAATAATTGATCAGCTCTTGTACTCTTTTGACATGCAGATTTTTTAAAATATATTTGTAGTAAATTATTATATTATTATTTATTATTATTATTATTATATAAACTACAATATGATGATTATTATCACTCTTGGATGTTGAACTGCGTGAATACCGTCCATTTATCATTTTGGAAATAATACATTTTTTTATTGTAGGTTTCTATACAGTTATGTGTAAAATTGCCTTTTGCCAGTTCGATCAAATAAGTCAAGAAAGTGATATTAAATATCACAACCCTCTCACTAGACAAAGAAATTCAAGTTGACTCTGCATTGTGGGTTGCAGTAACCGCGCAGTGTGCTCTGTATTTTTGCATACTATGCACAATATACATATTGCATGCTTTAAGTAAAATAGTGAGTACTATGTGATTTGTCAGTTGTTACCCATCATCCCCTCTGGTGTATCCTCACAGGAGCGAGCTCCACCTTGCGTGGATGACTTCCTATATATTTGTGATGATGCCTACAAGCGTTCTCAGCTCATCGCCATGGAAATCAGCATCCTGCAGGCGCTGAACTTTGACATCAATATTCCGGTTCCATACCGCTTCCTCCGTCGCTACGCCAAGGTGAGAGACAACATATGCATATACCCTCAAGAGACAGGTGGAACTCCTTTGGAGTCAGCTGACACACACCAGGATTAACATCAAGTGTGTGTGTGTGTGTGTGTGTGTTTGTCAACGTCAGAAAGAAAGACTATGCAGGGTAGCATGCTTTGAATGTCTTTGTGTTTGTACGGTGTGACCTGTTTGTTTCCTGAGGAATCTGTGTGTGTGTGTGTGACCAGCTGTCACTGGTTGTTGCTGCTTGCTGCTGTCAGATCTATTTTCATTTTCAACAGCTGATTTAATTGAGCTTTAGTTAAAGCTCTGCAATGTAGTTTTTTGTGTGTGTGTTTTTATTTGTTGGCAGAATTGCTGGTTTTACTAATTGTAAATGAGCTTCTTAAGTGCACATTGACAAATAATACCATTATATTCAATTAGAAGAACGTTAATTAGGAGAAGAACAAATAAATAAAACAAAGAATAAAAATAAAATCCTTTTTAATTGCTGGCGTAGTTTTCTAAAGAAAAGCAATTACAGCATGCACAAAACAGATCATTTACACTTATTCATGCCAAAGATTTTATCCAGGGACTTTCTACAAGTGATTTTTCAAGTGATTAAGGTGCAGTAGACAAACTCAGACTTTTCTTGACGGTTTACTGATATAATTTGTAAAATGCCTTCAAAAATATCTAGAGGGGATAGTTTACCTACTTTTTCTCAACCTCATATTGTTCTCAACCTCTGTAGAACTTACTCTGCCATTCAAAAATTTGAGGTCAGTTTATTTAAATACTTTAATTCAGCAAGAATGCATTCAATGAATTGAATTGTTCAGAAGTGACAGTAAAGATATGCATCATGTTACAAAATATTTCTTTCTATTCATCAAAGAATTCAGACATTTTTTTAAAATCAGTTTCCACAAAAATATTAAGTGCACAACTGTTTTCAACATTGATAATAATAAGAAATGTTTCTTGAGCAGCAAATCAGCTTATTAGAATCATTTCTGAAGGTTCATGTGACACTGAAGACTGGAGTAATGCTGCTGAAAATTCAGCTTTTCCATCACAGGAATAAATTACATTTTCAAATATATTGAAATAATTTTTTTTTAATTATAATAATATTTCTCAATATTACTATTTTAATGTATTTTTAATGTACAAATGAGTGCAGCTTTTATTGAGCATAAGAGTCTTCTTTCAAAAACATAAAACATCCTACAGACTTCAAACTTTATAATGGTAGTGTATCTTAGAAGAAATTTTGAACAATCTTTGTGCAGGTTTTTTCCCCAAAGTTTATAGTTCATAGTGACCTTGTCTGTTAAGCTCCAAAATTACAAAAACACTATATGGTATTTTTCTGTTAATTAATTTGAGTTTAACAGCACCAGTCACTATGATTTGTACAAGAACTGTCTGAGAATTCTTCAAAAGATTGTCCTTTTGTACACAGAAAAAATAACCGCACACAGCTTTAGAATAACATGAGGATGAGGAAATAATGACAGAAAGTTTGGATGAACTATTCCTTCAAAGAGTAGAACATTCAAGAATCAAGGAAATCAAATTTTACATTTCAGATGTTCACATTAAAACGCTTTCCTGCTATGGCTTACTGAAGCACTTCTTTTAGCAATTGTGTGCTGAATTTGCCAAGAATGAAAAGTGGAAAATATGGGAAGGTTGGGTGAGCTTTGTGTACTTTTTCTGCAGGCCCTGAAGATACTGACTCTGTATCTGTGTGTGTGTGTGTGTGTGTGTGTGTGTGTTGTACGTGAATAAAACTTGACTCCTCTCTGCAGTTTGTCAGTGTATGGGTGCTTATTCTGGTTTGTTTGTGTGTGTGTGTGTGATGATTAACTGTCTCTCGTCTCCTGGCAGTGTGTGAATGCAGGTATGGACACACTGACTCTGGCGCGCTTTATTTGTGAGCTGAGTTTGCTGGAGATGGATTTTGTGCCCGTGAGAGCGTCTTTGCTCGCCTCTGCCTGTCTGCTCATCGCTCTGGTTACTAAGGATCTGGGAGGATGGGTAAGTGTTTACATTTATGCTTTTATAATGTATGCACAAGCACAGAGCTCATGAATTATACCATTTATTTTCACAAAATGCCACCGTTCCTTGGTGATACACACATATAGACACTTTCACAGTGAGTTCAACATCCCTGTGTGCTATGATTTGAATGAGCTAAAGCTGACGACAGCTCTGATGGCCTGGTAACTGCTCATTATGGGTGCTAATTTCTGTCCCTATGCACACACACATTCACACTCAAACCAAGTAGTGGGTTGGTTTGTCCTTTAAGACTGTGACAAAGGTATTTTGGTTAATAAAAGTGAAGCTGGACTTTCTTTACCAATGTTAGAGTAATTGGTTTGTGTCCTGTGTGGCTCTACGGAGAAGTCATAGATGAAGTTCAGTTACCTTGAAACAACACCGTACACACGCTTATGCATTCATTTACATTCTCTCCGGATGTTGTTTGCATCATATCCTCAGATTATTGACAGCTTGAGGGCATTTTCTTCTCGCACCATGAAATATTTGGCAGGTGTCTTAAAGTCTCACTTCCCTTATGTAACACTCATTAGACTCCTCCGAGCTTCACAGATATCTGGCTGCACTTCACAATTGCACTTCAGAGTTTGTGTGAAGGTTTTGACTGATGTTCAATTTCTGTTTCCAGACACAGTGTTTGCAGTTCCACTCTGGATACAGTGTGGAGGATCTGGCACCTGTGGTCAGAAAACTTCATGATATGCTCATCGGCCCGCCGGACAGTAAACTCGCTGTCATCAGGAGCAAGTATGCACACAAGTAAGTCATTAATGCAGTTTAAATTGTGTATTTTTAACCAGAATAGTAGGTTCTTTGTGTCTACTTTTGCTCCCCGCAATTATCGCCGTATTATTAGGTATCTGGGTTAACTCTGCGAAACTAAAATAAGTAAAAACTGTGCTAAACCAAAAACTGAAAAGGCCTAAACTTAATGATTTTTATAAAACGTAGATTTTTTTTTTTAATTTGAAAAAAGTTTTTCTTTTCTTTTTACCCTAAAATGCCAAATGTTTAGATTTAGAAATGTTTAGAGTTAGATTGAATTTAAAATCTGTCACTCAAATACAACGGTTTGTGTTTTGTAAAATTGAACCAAATCGAACTGTTTGTGTTTGTTGTTGTAGTTAACTGAACCAGTTTTAGTTTGTTTGCCGTTTCTAACAAACTAAAGACCGTGTTTGGGGGCAGTCTCTAAAGACGTTTAGGGGGCAGTCGTGGCCTAATGGATAGAGAGTCGGACTTGTAACCCAAAGGTTGCGGGGTTCGAGTCTCAGGTCTCACAGGAATTGTCGGTGGGGGGAGTGAATAACCAGCACTCTCTTCCACCTCAATACCGCGACTGAGGTGAGACCCTTGAGCAAGGCACCGAAACCCCAACTGCTCCCCGGGCGCCGCAGCAATATGGCTGCCCACTGCTCACGGTGTGTGTGTGTTCACGGCTGTGTGTGTGCTCTTAGATGGGTTAAATGCAGAGCACGAAATCCGAGTATGGGTCATCATACTTGGCCACACGTCAAGTCACTTTCACTTTCACTAAAGTTTCAAAGCATTTTTATTTATTTACTTTTTTAAATTATCTAAAATCATTTGCTTTTAAAGTTAGCTGGCAAGCCTTCAAAGGAAGAACTTATGCATTTATATATACACAGTAGTCAACATTTGAAGTGGATCAAAGTTTTCCTAAGACAAAAACGGGTATTGCATTAGTTTTAGGACAACTTTGATGAAAGGTTTTGATCCACTTCAAATGTTGACTACTAATATATATATGCACTTTGACTTACAGGTTTCTTGCTGGGTGTTTATGGTGTAAACATTTCTGGCTTGTTTGCTGTTTTGATATATATATACATCATGTGCTTTTAAAGTTGGTTGGCAAGCTTTGCAAAGAAAGCATTTGGATGGCAGATGGATGAAGTTTAGTCATAATTAATGTTTAGAAAATTTAGATTCTGTTTGCTTATCTGAGTCTCAGCTTGACTGGTGTGTTGTTTAGAAGCTCTTCCCAAACCTGATTGGCATTTTGACATGTATTATTTAATGTTACGCCTGCCTATAGCAGATCTTGACTTCTTGAAATAATTTGACTAATGAAGCCGTTTGTTCATATTTAAATACTCCAGATTGTGGCATTTTGTTATTTCTAAGTTATTTATTTATTATTATAATTTTTTTTTTTACAGAGTTTTCTTTGAAGTTGCGTTGATCCCCACAGTGAGTCTGGAAACGTTGGAGGGGTTTTTGAAATAACCTGAAAGAATATATGTAAAGTTTCGAACATTGTAAATAATTATATTTAATGTTATATTTTAATCTTTTGAAATAAAGTGTTTATGTGTGTAAACTGACATGATGTATATGCATGTTTTCCATTGTATGTTCAGCTGTTTAGTTGTTTTTACAAACCATGTTATTCTTGACCAAAACACTCACCAGTGACCCTGTCAGTGTTTCAAAAACGGATAAAAGTACAAACCATGAATACATTATTAGGTCATTAGATTTGTGTTGTTATTGAATGGTGTAACTAAAATGGCATTTTAATGCTTAATCTTGTACATAAATATTTGTTTTTGTCTTTTTCGTACGGCTTTGTATAGTTTGCCATGTCTGTATGTTTTCTTAATCAATTTAAGTGTATTTTTAAACACTTGTTGGTTAAAAAAGTATTTTGCATATTTGCCCGATTCTTGCATTTACTTACTATTTGAAATAAATGCCTTTTAAAATTTAACAAACATACCAACAATGCTGCATCAGTTTAACCAGTAGGAGGCAGCGTGATCCCAGATCCTCCATCACCACATTGGTATGTGTCTGCATTCAAATACATGCACTGCATGTCTTTTCAACCACACTCAATCATTGCACCTATAGAAAATAAATAAATAACCTCAATCTCACTCAGCCCCAGTGATTATTGAATGTAGGAAACCACTCTTGTTTATCAGAAGAGATTGTCTGGCGGTTCTGATGTCCTAACAGTCTCTGACGTCCATTGGTTGTTTTCGGATGCAGCTTGAGTCACAGCTGTGAGCCGGTCCAATCCATCACGGCCAACCGAGAACAACAAACCTCTCAGAGCGGTTTCTAATGTTTGCTCTTTTTGCTGCATTCTGTTAGTCTCTCTTGTGTGGTTTCGATGTGGATTGAAAGGGGAAAAGACAGACTTTGATTAGCATAAGTCTTCTCGACCTGCTCATTGGGATGGCAGAATGCTGATTGCTTGTCCTCCAGGCTTTAAAGGCCACTGTTTCTAATCCTAGTTATTATATTCAACTCATTGATGTTTGTGCGTTCCGTCCCAGGCGGCATGTTTGCTGGACAGCACCCTTTGATCACTGACCGATTGGATCCTGGGCATTGTTTTCTGAGTGCTTCACATGTATGCTGTGAATCCCTAAGTTTGACTGCAGAATTGACGCAAATCTTGATTTCTCATTAGTAGTGGCACAGAATTTGTTTACTGCTAAAGGATACCATTTATAATCTGGATGCTTAAACATTTGTGGATAAATGTCTGTGGTGACTCCATTAATTGGGATAAGGAGGCCAACACATCAATATCTGGCGGTGTAAAAATGGGAGAGCCATCTGTTGAATAATACATCATCTTTATGCCATATTATGTCAGTGTAATGCCAGTTCATAAATGTCCTAAACCACATTTCAGTTAAATGAAGAGACAAAGACAGAAGCTTTTCTCTGCCACAGGATAAATAAATAAATGGTAATTATGACTTTTAATTTCACAATTCTTTCTTTTTTTCTCAGAATTGCGAGATTTTAACTCAGAATTGCAAGACATCAACTCTTCTAAGAAGAAAAGTCAGAATTGTGAGATATAAACTCGCAATAGACCTTAGTCAGATTAGATGCCATATTGAATTTAGCATGGATGAAAACAAGGCTGTGAGGGATAGACCTACAGTCTTTACAATGGCATGCACTGTATAAAGGGCCTAGATCATATCAAAACTTTCAAAAATGTTTCCTGGTGTTTTTCTTTTTTACTGAAAATCTTTTGGAAAGATGTTTCATCAGCATGTTGTTCTGTCCCTCACAGCCTTGTTTTCTGTCAAAAATTAATGACGCTAACCTGACTAAGGTCTATTTAAGAAAATATATATTTCAAATATATATTTTCAATGCATATATACAAGTCAAAATTGTGAGAAAAAACTCAGTTGCCATTTTAATTTTTATATTCTGAGGCAGAAACAAAAAAACAAAACGTGAAGTGCTAACTCAGAATTCATAGAAAAATAATTGTAGGATGTAAACTCAGAATTCTGAAGGGAAAAAGTCAGAATTGTGAGAAACTCGGAAGTATTTACATCTTGCCGTCTTCTGACTTTTTTATCAGAACTGTGAGTTTATATCTCATGACTTTTTCAGAAATTTCTATACAAAGATCATATCTGTGTTCTCCTTGAGGAGAATAAAAAAAGTGCCTTGCTCATAGCCGGACTGACCATTGGGCTTGAGCCCATGGGCCCCACCTTTGCACGTTTACGATTTTTTGATTTGTTCAGTTATCAGTCAGAAATTATATGGCCGATTTCCACTGCACACACAAGGGCTAGGGCCAAGGGCCAATGCTCCAACTGTGGCCTTCGAGTCCATAATCAAACAGCATAAACTGGTATTTATGATAATTTCCCAAAGAAGAAGGACACACGTATTGAATTGCGACTGCGCCGATTAATTTGTCATCACATGGCTACTTTAAACATCTCCATTAAGCCTTTAGCCCAAAAGATTGCAGATTTAGAAAGATAATGAGAAATTCTCATGTTCACGCCTCATTTCTTTACAGAGGATGATTCTATATTATATTACTGCTCCACTAAATTATGCGATCTGAAGAGTTTTGAGCGCTTTCTCCCGTCTCAGAAATATCATCAAAATGATTTTAAAAATAAAAATAGCCATTTAATGAGTTTCTTTTTTTAATTTTTATATAGGACTTAGCCTATAACACAAACAAGAGTCTATGGGGTTTTTCCGAATATCTGCACGATCACAAATGTAGGCCTATAACAACAAGTTACTGAGAAACTTTCAAACACAGCATTCCATTTTGCGCCGTCAAAAAGAAAATAGAACTAACAGCAGAACTGCTGCGTCTCGGAGCAACACAGTGTTTTGTTCCTGTACAGTCGTTTGCAAAGTTAAATGCACTATAGCTTTTTAAACGAATCGGTTGATTTAAAGGTGCAATGTGTAATATTTACATCGATCTATTGACAGAAATGCAATATAATATATATATAACTATGTTTTCAAAGGTGTATAAAGACCTTATTTAATGAACCGTTATGTTTTTATTACCTTAGATTGAGCAATTTATATCTACGTACACCGTGGGTCCCCTTACATGGAAGTCGCCACCATGTTTCTACAGTAGCCCTAAACGGACAAACTGCTCTACATAGCGCGTTTCGTCACTTTGTTGTTCTTGCGAATAAAACTGACACAATGATGAACAAGTACATTAATATTCGCAATAACACCGATTTTTTGAATAATTGAGTAAATATAATTCCTTAATTTACCTTTGTAAATAAATCTCATTGCTCTCTGCTGTCTTTACCGATGACATCTTAGTCCTGTATCGGCCACCTTAGCTTCTCTAAAGGGAGGGGTGAGCGGGGGACTGAGCCGTTGGTTGCAATTCGCAACCTCACCGCTAGATTTAAAATTTACACACTGCACCTTTAAGTGTTCAACTTACTCATTAAGACAGCTACTTGCAGCCACCTACCGGCGGTTGTAGTTTCATATTTAAAAAGTAGATTATTATTTCATTTTTGCAATCATTTAATATTTCTACATTAAAATGTTATATTTAAACAACAATTTATGCAGAATCCATCTATGGATTTTGTTGATAGTGATTTCATTTGATTGTTAATAGCCAACATGTCTTTTTTCTCGGATTGAATTTATTGATTAGATGTAAAAATCTGACATAAGAGGACACATATGGACTATGACAATACATTTTTATAATACTAATACATCTCTGTCTTTTTTGGTTCAGTGTAATTTCAGGGTTTCGAATTCTCAAATGAGAGAAAACACCCTGTTTATTGTATTAAAATGACTAGTTAATATCTAAATTTTGACTAGGTTAGACATGTTGCATATTAATTGTACTATATATGAACTTCAATGCATATTTACATTTTTGTGTATTTTGTGTTACTTCATAATGATGTTCTAGCTGAGGGCATTTGTAGTGTTTAGGTGTATGGCCCAAACATAACCTCAAGCCCAGGGGCCCTGGCCCTCTAAGTCCTGCCCTGCCCTTGCTACACCAGACACAATTAACTGTGGTAAATTGCAGACATTTCTCTTATATCCTAATGTATTCTGTGAGAATGACAGAGCGAGGCTGCTTGTTAAAACAATGCAATATCATTATCAAATAATTGTAATTTTGGTGACGTAAAATTATACAAAACCTCCATATTTTGGATCCTCTTGTTTTGATCCAATTACTCTTGTGTGACACATCGCTTTTCACTTCATCCCCATTCTGTGTGCGACCTCTTGTTTATCGGTACTAAAACAGACTTGCATTGATTGAATATCATTTTCAAACAATTTTCCTGTCATTTTCTTGGACTCCCGAGGCAATTGGCAATTTCCACCCAAAATAAATGCACGAGCATGGAGCCAGATATGCTATTTGGGCCACAAATGCTTCATGGAGCAAAAGCGTTTACCTTAGCCAGCTAACTACAATTGAAAATTCATTATAATGGAGTTATGAAAGGCTACATTCAGCTGCGAACACATGCAGCTCTGATGGGACACATAAACATGGCAGTTACATAATAGCAGGCAGCAGCTGTGTTAGTTAGAGGTGAAAAAGATCAAACTAAGAGCATGATGACACTAGCTGTGCTGCTTACTAATGGGTGTATTATACATGCATGAATCTGTCTAATGGACATGTAAAATACGTGAAAGAGGTCTATGATGTATACCCAACATCATCTGGTCTGCACATCTGTCTCCATTACAATAATTACCAGAGTCAATGCTCAGGCTATAGAAGATGCTACAGTAATGCATCTGTTGCAGGACTTATAGCCTAATAGATTCACTCATGCCCTTTTTATTTTTTCTTCGCTGAGAAAAAATGAACTTGGCCCTAAGTAAATTTTATGTTCTTGATCTGCCCCTTTGATCTATTTGAAATAGATTTGATATTTTACTAAAATATTATTATATGGTTTTAAAATATATGATCTGGTTTTGAACAAACTTATGTCAGTTAATTAAAACCAGTCAGCTTGGGCCAGAATGCTTTTGTAAGGACAGTATATTGTTGTTGGTAATTAATGTGGCATATAGTTGTGTTTACAGTTCTGTTTAGTGCTGTTTTGTATTACCGTGATGTATATAACAAATCTTCAGCATATAAAACTGCATTTATAGTTTTGTCTGATAGAGTAATATTTATCTGAACTGTTGTTACATCAGTTAGTCAAAAAGACATGCAACAAAAAAGTAACAAATTAAAACTAATAAAATATAACAATATACATCTACATTGTATTAAAATACAATGAATAACAATTAAATGTATCTGTAAGCGTTTTTAATGAAATAGTAAGCAAAATCCTACACCCTGGATATCCTAACTGAAATATTTGTCCTGAGATATCATGCCGATGTCTGACAGCCATAAACAGGAAAATGCAAATAAAGGAAAAGGAAAATAAAGAGAATTATTATTCAGTGGTGGGCTTTCTTTCTATTAATCATTTTGAGGTCAAACAAAGCATGCAGTCCATATAGTTAGGTAGATTGTGATATATATATATATATATATATATATTTTTTTTCACCAGCTGAAAGAGATTTCAA